CTCCACATACATCAGGACCCTTCTCTACTCCCTCCACATTCATCAGGACCCTTCTCTACTCCCTCCACATTCATGCTGACCCGGAAGTTCAACCTCATAGCTTCCGCAAAGCAGCCTACCCTTTTTGTGAATGGGTGCTTTTGTGGTACGGTTTTCACAGGTAAATTGGCCATCTCCTTCTTCCTTTTCTTAGGTGTGAACGTCAGAGGAAGGCTCTGATCATGTGGAGTGTGTAGCTTCACATCTTCCAAGATCTTGGTCATTTGGTCAGTTAACGTTTTAAGGTAATCTTCATCTTGCAGATGGTATGTTAAGTCAGTAATCTCACGCAAGAGACTGGCACATTCCCTTCTTTGTTTAACCTTTCTTGGTCTTTTCCTTTCGGGCAAAGCGTTACATGGTGACTGCATTTCCACTGATACCGGTGTATATGTATGATCTGTGATGTCTGATCTGCCGCTGTCATCCCTCTCACAAGAAGTCTGTCCCAGACATGCATTATCCAGGGAGAAGAGGGGTTTATCCCTGTAATTAGATGCCAGTTTCTCCCAACCCCATTCATGCACATGATTAAAAACAGCACAAAAGTGCTTGCAGGGCAACTTGTGCTTTGCCCAGTCTTTGCAGGTGCACGATGGCACGATGATACTTTCACCAAAGTTGATGTGGTGCTGTGTGCAAGGATGACTTTGGCTTTTGACATGGAACATCTTGTCATAATGAGAACAGTCAGTGATTCGTTGTCCTCTGCAGCTGTAGTCAGTGGCAGGGTCCCCAAAAAGCTAGAGACGGCCCTGGTCAGTGGGCTCAAGGAAACTCTCTCTGGCATCTGGAGGGAAGGAACCTCTTGGATCAATGTGGTACAATCAGCAGACACACGTTGTCCTCTGCACAGTAGAAATCCCCAAAAACTGCAGTTCCTCTTCACACCACTGTTGCCTTGACAACGAGGCACAAGCAAAATGTCAAAACCTCCTCAGAGATGCGTTCTTTGCACAATTCTTCTGTTTTCTGTAGTGAGCAACATCTCACCAACACACTGATTCAGAGTACAACCCAAAGGTGGCGCACAACTATCCAGTGCTGCTGTAATCACAGCCAATCAGCCACTAGATAAAAACTAAATTTAAATCTCTCCCCCAACGGGTTACAAAATGGCTGAGTGTCCATATGTGACCTGCTCTATCGAAATCAGTCGCATTGACCCGAAGACACATTTTGAGTTGTATACACTGTTGGAAAGAGGAGATTCCTAGCTTTCTAATGATATCAAGATTTTTGTTGTACTCCAAATATTAAGCAAAATATGTCACATTATATAATGACTGTCACCGAGTCATCATTTTGAGAAAAAGGCCTTCAAAGTTTCCTCTTCTCTGGATCGATCTGATTGATTATTAGCGGAGCAAATGATCAAAATAGTCCGGAGGGAAAATATTTCCGTTTGGATTACTGGTCTGGGGGAAGCTCGCGAGTGTGTGTGTGTATGTGTGTGTGTGTGTTTGTGTATTTTTGCGTTTGTGTATATTGTGTTTGTTTCCCGGGGAAAACACTCACGAGAAACACCGGCTGTTGTTATGCTTGCTGTGACGTTAAATTACTCCGTTCTCCGCTTGTAAATATGCCGTTACAAGCTTCATAGTTGTATTTATCATCTAAATTTGCCGAAACAAGTTTAATATTCTGAAAGCCAAGACTTTGTTTAATTGAAATCAGATGAAAACAAACTGTAACGGACCCTGCCGTGTTATCTATGATTACTATATGCCTTACATTCATAATTTCAGCCGGAGGGAGGGGAAGCTGCGCTACGGAACAGCAGATTGCGATTGAGAGGTGCCTGTCATCTTCCCTTTACAAGCTTCACAAATGTATTTATCGTGTGATTTTGGAAATAAAAGTTTCATATTCTGAAAGCCAAGACTTTGTTTATTTAAAATCAAACAAAACACCCGAACCCCGAAAAAATAGTTTTTTCCGCAAATCCACGTTTATTTTGAAATGAGCCGTTGCGACATCCGACTGATTTCGATAGAGCGGGTCACATATGGTCAGGAATGCTGAAACATGTGAATGTTAAAACGAACTAACGGTGGTAGTTTACCCAGATTCTTTACTTCATCAAAAGTAGTAAAACTACATTGTAAAATCTTTTTTGTCTAGTTGACGTCCTGCTTTTAAATTATATTCAGGAAAATAAAATAAACATCATCTTTCAAATCTTCTTAAATTTGAAACCAAAAAGGTCTTCATTCTCCACCATGATCCATTTCAACATCAAAGTCCATAAAACTGATGATTTATCTTTAAAAACCATGAGGAATGACAGTTCTCATAAAACACTATTCTCCTTTACTTCAGTTCTAAGTCAGATGACCAAAACAAGGAAACCCTCCTTAACCACTATAGATTCTTCTTTTATCTTCTTGCTTATTCTATTCATTTTCTAATTGTTTATCTAAGTTCTGTTACAAGCATGGTTAGGTTGTAACAGAATACAAAACATCAAGTAACTGTATTCAATCCGCGCTATATTTGAAAACCCAAGTAATCTGATTACAGTTAATGAATATATTTTTGGAACACTTAAAGAAATTCTTGGTGGAAAAGTTTCCTCACAAAATGTAATCTTCATTACTAAAGCTGAAACCTAAAAAAATCATCACGGAACAGTTTTCTTTCCTTATCACTTAATTGTTTCAATAAAAACAAAAAAGGCATTGTGAAAACTCCCACTCTTGAGAACATCTCAACACTTTATTCCATCTAAGCATGAATGTTTATGACAAACACGCCCTATTAATCCAAAACGGTCTTTAGTGGTATACATTGTGAACTTTCTTAATATTAATTGTAAATTCAACGTATGTTCTCTTTAGAACAAAGATAGGATAGTTGCAGCTGAAACTGGTTAATAGCAACTTTCTGTTAACCTAGATAAGCATGTTTTTCTTATATCTAGTAATATATATTTATATTTTATTTTATGTTACTCATAAAACAGTAAACCATAGGAACATTTTCCAGAATAGTAGTTAACTTTATATAACTTTGACTCTCTGTAAACTCTTCAACACATCTTAATTCTAGGTGAAAATAAAAACTAAATCTTTTTATTTCAATATAGCTACTTCATATACTCAGTAAATCTCTTTTTACTTTCCCTTAATGTTACTGTATATAATATAATTTTTTCCTTTGAAATATAATTAAGTACAATTCTCAGTTAATGACAAATACCATTAAATTCACAATGCAATGCAATGGTAACAATCAGTTCTCAAAACTTCTCATAAAAACCACAATGTGACGTAACTATATTCTACTATGCTAAAAACAACAAATTATTGTTTCTTATTTATTTCAATATATCTACTACATCAAATCACATATTGATCTATTAATTTTCAATGTATTCACTCCAACTTCAGATCACTCATTGATCTTCTACTTCTTTTTGTTTTTAAACTCAACACTCCGCAGCCTTCTTTCAGGCATCAGAGAAAAGACAAGCAGACACACTCCGGGCTGCCTGCTCTCACAGCCGACAATTAGAGCATCTCCTCTTTTACAGAATGGGGAGAAGGGGGGAAGATACTTTCACAGACAAATACAGACACACCCCGGCTGGAGCTCTCAGCCTTTTCAGGAGAAGGGGGCTTCTTTGACCAATAAGAAATTAAAACAACAAACTATGGTATACCAAAAACATTTAGCGCTTTAAACTGAGTCTCTAACTCATTACGGCCTGACAAAACATGGTTTCCTCCACTTTTGTATTCAGTGAATTCACAGAGTCGCGAGCAGAGCTTTTTATATTTTTAACTCCCTCGACTCAGATCGGACTTATTAATCTCTTAATTACCGAACGGACCGGAACAGGCATGACCCTCCACCCTGTTTTTGTGCACTTGACTCGCAAAGCAAATTTGTATTCCTCAGCCAATAAATCTCTGAACCTTAAGACAAATCATTAGGATCTTCTCAGGCAGAATTCAAGACTACGAGCAAATACAGTGATTCCTCCAGCATAACATGTCCTTACGGCTAGCAAAGATCATATTCCCTCAATCAAACCCTTAGCTTCTCAGGCAGACTACGAGCAGAATACAGTGATCTCTCCAGTATACACATAAAACAAGACTAACAAACAAAACAAACAACCATCAAACAGATTTCAGCTATACCTATGCCTTAAATCCACTCCTCTGTTTTTTCCTCTTAACCAATACAACTTCAAAAGTCATTTAATTCCAAATACGTTTTGCTTACTGTGAGTCAGTATTTCCTCTGTGGAAGTCTCAAGTCTGGTTTCTCAATTCCTTGAGATTTTACCCCAGCCGTCTCAGGGCTGCCTGGCCAAGGGAGTTGAGACCCCCAGAGAAGGAACACAGCAACCTCCAGCATGGGCAATCTCGGTAGAACCTCCAAAATGTTGTGGCGATCCAGCACTCACACAACAGGAAAGAATGAAACAGAGAGGAATCAATAAAACACAAACACAGATATAGCTGATCAGTAATTATTATTTAGTTGTTGCAACAAACAAACAATAATGGGGAGTACATCACCTGCTGCCACAGCAGCCAATCGCGGAACTGTCTCCCAACGAATACAAGAAACACAGGGCTAGATATACTTTTCTAAATGACACACGAACATGTTCCCTCAACGCACACACATTGTCAGTTCTCCTAAACTTGGACATGTTCCAACCTTATACAGTCATACATGTTGCATCCTCTGAGTTCTACATGATCCCAGATTTCATGACCTTATTTAGCAGCTACCACACATGCCAATGTATACAACTGCTGGTGAAGAGTTTCAGCTGGTTGCCTATAGATGGATCTCCTTCCAGCAAACCAAATGAACACCACACAGTCCACTATACTGTTGCTTAATACCATGTGACATTAATGAATATACCAGAAATACACTGTAATAAACATTCTGCTATAACAACAGCACAAATTGTACCTCGCATCATGTTTCTTACAGCAGCTAAAGGAATAGATTTGGCATGGTTACCTCTCCAACAGTTGGATGGTTTTGATGGTCACTTTCTGGGGTGAAGCATGTGTGGTATTCCATGACTACTTCAACTGTTGAAGGATCAGCTGCAACTACAGCCTTTAGTGCTGCTGAGAGCTCCCTCCTCTTTGCTTTACTGTTCTCTGCAATCTGGGGAATATAGAAATGACATTGCAATTGGGATCATGACACGAGAGCAATTATAGCATTGAACGCACTTGTGCTGTGCTTGTGCTGTACCTTGAAACCAGGACATTTCATGACCTGACTGACAGTTATCTGGGCAGGGCAATCCATCTTCTTCATATTTTGTACGAGATGGCGTCTTGCATTGAAGACATGGTCTTCAAGCTAAGAGAAAAAAGGTGTATAGAAATACAATATTAATACATGTAGACATTTTCATGGTCTCCTCTCCATAACGTGGAGAACATAATTTTTGCTATGGTCCTTTCTTTTGTCTTCTTTAAAATATTTGTAGGTCCTGCTAATAAAACTATAGTGGGACATTATGTCATTACCCCTGCATCTGTACTGTTTGTGTCTATTTATTTTGCACATATACCATCCCCTGTTAAAATAAGTAACCAGTATAGGAAGAATTTGGTGCCAGGTCATGACCGTGAGCTGGTTGGGTTCTGTAGGTGAACAAAGGAAGGATATCCCCCTTTATTTTGTCTCAGAAGAGGCCATTGAATTTCGTTTCCTATTCCTCTAAAGTTTAAACGACTTATGTATTTACATAATGCTGATTCCTATGTTGTTATGTGTCAGAGTGTTATGTGTCATAGAATGCCACATAATGCATGTCATATTACGAATAGTTGTTTAATTTTCCTTTACCAATTATTTTAAGTTGTTAATGCATGTAAATTCATAAATATACCGCTTGTTTCTCTTTTTGTGCATGGTACTTCTCCTTTTGCCGAGTACACCTGTCCTTTCCCTGGTGGCATCCATATATCTTGGTGCCCACGAGTTGGAATGGCACCCCATCATATGGTACACATTTCAACTGCCAGTATATCTTTTTCCCTGGTGAAGGCTGCATGTCTGTATTGAAACATTTGTGACAAAAATACACATTTTATCCATAAAAGATGTATTAACACTGGTCAGTTTAGATTTGGAAAGACACGGAATTTGAAAATGTCTTAAGTAACTTTACGCCTGATAATTCAACCTGTTGCTGAATGTACAGTAAAGTTTCACGTCTTTTCCGCTTTTATCAATCTATGGGTTATGTAGAAAGCTGAAACTACCAACCAATAATTCAGTTGTTGTAGGCATTAAAACACAGAACACCAAAATAAACATTTTAGTGGTGTGAACGCTCGTGAACTGTCAACAGGAGGGTGGGGGAGCCTCGCTGCGGGGAAACTGTGGACCTCTGTCAGCGCAACTTAAATGATGCCGTTTAAAAGATGAATAAATTCACGGCTCGAACCGAGCCGTTCTGTGCCCCGTCTTATATATGTAATACTTATACTTATATACTTATACTTATATATTATTATTAGGGCTGTCAGTCGATTAAAATATTTAATCGCGATTAATCGCATGATTGTCCATAGTTAATCGCGATTAATCGCAAATTAATCGCACATTTTTTATCTGTTCTAAATGTACCTTAGAGGGATATCTTTCAAGTTTTTAATACTCTTATCAACATATGAGTGGACAAATATGCTTTATATGTTTGTTTATTATCATTTGAACAATGACAAATATTCTCATGAATATTAAACACAACAACCTGAACATTACAAATATTCGCCTCAATTCAACCTGGAACCTCTCTCATACTGTGTGTGTGTGTGTGTGTGTGTGTGTGTGTGTGTGTGTGTGTGTGTGTGTGTGTGTGTGTGTGTGTGTGTGTGTGTGTGTGTGTGCGTGTGTGTGTGTGTGTGGAGACACTGTGATGGATCGATGGAGCTATGTGCAGCTCAAGGCATATATGCTCGAATGGGAGCTGCCTGGACGCAATCATGTTGCGCGCACTATCCGTGCTGAGTGTGCTGACTTTTCGTACAATGTCCCACTGTCTGGCTACCTGCATAAAGTCAAGTGCTCGGCGCAGTTGTCGGCGAAATGTCATTGAAACAGCTCCTTATATCCGTCAGCGTAGCTAGCTAGCACCAGATGCTAACAACAACACGTAAGGTGTGCCTCGCTCGCGCGAGTCGCGCCACACATACACACTCCTTCCCGGTCCTCCCGATGGCCAGTCCGGGCCTGCCAGTGAGCGTGGTAGTGTGGTCTGCCACAAGCGGGTGGCAGGAGCGGGGCTGTCAGAATCAGCTTGTCGATGGTATTTTACACTCGATGCGCTCTGAAACTACGGCGGCCGAGGACAAAAAATACACATGCGTTAATCGCGTTAAAATAATTAGTGGCATTAACTTGACAGCCCTAATTATTATACTTATATACTTAGGCCTATATAGGGCCTACTTAATATTTGATTACTGACACAATGTAAGGCAAGGCAAGGCAAGGCAAGTTTATTTATATAGCACCTTTCAACACAAGGCAATTGTGTTGAAAAAAAAAAAAAATGTAGGTCATCGTTGTTTCTTCAATTTCCGATCTAACTTTACAAACTTACTATTTTCCCCGAAAACCTGTTCCTTTTTGTACACAATATACTTTGTGATCGTTGTTTCTTCAACGTCTGCTAACGCTTCCTCGAAATCCTTCAGTGTTTGAAAGATTTTATGTGAAAGCATCCTGTTTGTTGCACGTTGGCATCCTTGGCAGGCTTGTCTGTTGGAGCGCGAGCGCAACAAAAGTTGCCGTCTCATCCACGACCACTATTACGTCACTTCCGCCGCATAAAACCCAGGAGGTATACGATCTAGCACTAACTGTCCAGTCCACTGTCCTCCATCTGCGCGCGCCCGCAAGATGTTCTACGATGTGTTTGCTCCTGCGCTTCCACTATGAGTTCGGTCCAAATTCACATTTTACGTTGCCTGATTACATTCATTCATGTTGCTTTTAATTTTCTAAGTTTTTTTAAAGGGAAACACATGTTTGCTCTTATTTTATTATGTAATCGTTAGTTTTGATAATCAAAAATAAAAATGTTGGAAACTATATTCTCGCCCAATCATTTTTGATCAATGAATGGGTGGGCCCAGTGACAGAGTGGGTGGGCCTAGGCCCAGTAGGCCCACCCATAACGCCGCGGCTGCTTCTGTGTGTGTGTGTGTGTGTGTGTGTGTGTGTGTGTGTGTGTGTGTGTGTGTGTGTGTGTGTGTGTGTGTGTGTGTGTGTGTGTGTGTGTGTGTGTGTGTGTGTGTGTGTGTGTGTGTGTGTGTGTGTGTGTATGGAACATGTCAAACACTCACTACAGCAGTTGATGGACTGCTTAACAGAGATAAAATCCTGGCTGAGCAAAGACTTTCTCAACCTCAACGAGAGCAAGACTGAGGTCATCTTTTTTGGACCGCAACCTCCAGCCTCTCCGGTTGATATTCTGGGCTCTCTCAAAAAAAAACATCCTCCCCTCGGTCATGAACCTTGGAGTGACCTTCACTAGCACTTTTAAATTCGACAAGCAGGTCAGCACTGTAGTCAAATCCTGCTTTTTTAAAATAAAACTATTGGCCAAAACCAAGTCGTATTTATCTTTTAATGACTTAGAAAGGGTTATTAACGCCTTTGTAACCTCGAGACTGGACTATTGCAACGCTCCGTATGTGGGTATGGACCAGGCCTCAATTAAACGCCTGCAGCTAGTCCAAAACGCAGCTGCACGTTTGCTGACTGGCCACAAAAAGCGTGACCACATCACCCCTATTCTGGCCTCACTGCACTGGCTTCCAGTTCGGTTCAGAATTGATTTTAAAATCCTTTTATTTGTTTTTAAAGCACTAAATGGGCTGGCTCCGGCCTATATAGCCGAACTCCTCCAGCGCTACACCCCAGCCAGAGCTTTAAGGTCTGCTGACCAGCTGCTGCTGGTAGTGCCCAAGACCAGGCTCAAAACCCGAGGGCACCGAGCCTTCGCAGCAGCTGGCCTTAGGCTAGCCTCGTTAGCTATACATGCTATCAGCGTCGGAGGACAGCCAACTGTAATGTACCGTCCTTTGGGGGTCTGTGAGCGGGCAAAGAGAGGGGATTTCCCCGTTGTCTCTGCTGGAAGTGTGAAATAAACGTAGTTGTTTGATGTTCGTCAGCTTGCCAGCTGGATTACAATGCTAATCTACATTTGCTAGTTGTTCAGTTGTTCAATATGCTATACTATACTATGAACAACAGATAGTGGTTCATATTAGGCTATCAAGCACATGTTTACAATTGCAATCTTATATGGGTAGTCTGCTACATTCATTGTAGCTGGCATAAAAAAAATGTTTTTCCGAGCAAACTCATGTCTAGCTCTTAGTAGCCTTGTTGTTTAGCTCGGTAGCATACACGCTCGGAACGCCAGCTATAATGTAATTACGTTTCGCGATGACCGTACGGTAAATCACCTGGAGTATACTGTCTATGAGTATTTCGTGTGTGAATGCAGACATTCTCCTGCTATGAGATACATGTATGTAAGGCCATCTGCTGATATTAGAGTTGATATGGAAACGCTAGCAACTTAGTTAGCACAGTTAGCACTGGCTTAGCAGTCCGACACAGTTTACACATTTAAACAGTCGTGGTAGATACCTTGTTCGATAAATACACAAATAACAATGCAAACTTACAGGTTGTGTACCCGAATCTTCCCCTGCTCCAAACGGTCCAAACAAACTAGGAATAGCATCGTCCTTCAGTTTCAAATGCTGTGCATATCCGGCCTCAAACTGGGCAATGTTTTGGAAGCTTTCGTCTGTGAAATGCCGCGCACACAGTAACGTTCTTCGAACCTCTGAAGGAACAGTGTTAAAAAGAAATTTAAACCACTGACTTCGTCGTGGTTCTTCCGTCGGTAGGACAAACAGCTCAGATTTCTCCTCACATTTCAGGAAACAGGTCCTTGGCAGTGGCATGACTGGATCGATTGTGAACTGAACCAGAGCTTCCAACAGTAAATGTTAGGCTGGCAGAGGGTGCGGCCAGCGCCGCTGGGTGTGGCCATAGCTCTTCGGGATTGGTCCATTTCGTTCCGGGTACGGCATGACATCATGCCGTACCCGGAACTAAATGGAAGACTCAAATGGGCAGTGACGTATCTCCAACGAGGCGTTTTGGGGAGGTATTTTCTGTGTTAGAGTTTTACTCCCTACAGGGTGTACTTTGAGGGTTTTGACTCTGCACACCGTTTACATGCATAAAATCCTTCATAACACACAAGGGGACGGGTAATAACCGGAAAAGCATGACATGGGAGCTTTAAGAGCAATGGGACGTCCTTTCCTCCGGAGAGTCACGTGAAGCGACGTCCGTTTGTGATGACGCCGCACAGCTGATCGTCTGACAGCAGCTCTGTCCCCGTTATTTTCACAAACACCCCCGCCTCTGTTAGTACACATTTACTGACATAAACATGTGTATCATCTGTTGTAGACCCAAATACATTAAATTTCCAATAAATGAATAAAATGATTTTTGACCACTTTGTTGTTCAGATATATCACATATTTGTAAATAAATGATGCATTCATTGAAACAGAACACAGAATAAACTGAGGAGTGAGTCTCGTGAGGTTCATGCATTTTCTTCTTCAGTTTTATTGTTTTTCACATTGGGGGGGGGGGGGGGGGGGGGGGTGGTCTACAGAAGGTCCAGTGATAGACACGGTTCGCCACTGAACTATGTTAATAATAAAAGGTAACATTTATAAATATTGGAAACAGAAGTAGTGATACAAAGAGCTCAAAATTCATAAAAATGTAAAAGTTACTCAAGTACAAGTAGAAAAGTATTATCATCAGAATCTAGTTAATATAGCAAAACGTAAAAGTAGTGATTGTGCAGATTGGTCCATTTCAGAATAATATATATGATATGTTTTATAATGATTGATCATGAAAGTGTTCTCAAAGCTGGTAAAGGTGCAGCTAGTTTGAATGACTTTGTATACTGCAGGGTAGCTTGTGGATTTACTCCAGGTGGAACTAAAGTCTGATTTAACACTTGATTATATTTCACATCATTCATCCACATCTGTGAAGTAACTAAAGGTATTAAATACGTGTAGTGGAGAAGAAGTACAAAGACCTGGACCTGGACCTGGACCTGGACCTGGACCGGGACCTGAGACCTGCTGTTTGTGTCAAAGAGTGACCGCTCAATGGAGCCTCAATCTGCTGATGGGGGGTAAGAATAAAACCTAAAATCCATGTGAGATAAAGTCAGTTGTTGTCTGTGTTAAAGCTTCTCTGTGTAACCTTCAGGAAATCCTGGTTATTATTGACGTCAGTGGGCGTTAAGTGATCTGCAGTTAGCATCCTGGGCATCGGCCCAAACCCTGACGTGACATTACAATCATATATCACATTTAGAATAACGCCACTATCTGAAACTCAGAAAGTCGAGATGGTTTAGGTTTTACATTTTCATTACAGTCTCTTCACACCTTTGCAATACAGAGCGATTTACACTATTACGTTGTTAAATATAGTGACTTTAGATTTAACATATTTTCTCCAGCGTGCCAATCTATGCATCTGCTTCTGTTTCAGGGTCCAGCAGCAGAGACCAGACTCTCCCAGCTGTCTGTCCCTAAAGAGCGACAACTCGAAGGACGACTTCATAGACTTTAAAGGACGACCTCCATCTGCTGATCAGAGGTAAGCTGTAACTATCTGGAAACTGTAATTCAATAACATTCAGTCATTATAGTTATATTGAGAAGGTCCAAGACTTGACACAACATAACATATCTGATATATGGGAAAAAAACATTTGAGAGTTAAAGTAGTTTTTCCTCAGCGAGAACTGAAACACTGCGAGTCTCCAGATATGTGGGTGGAGACAAAAGCAATCGATCTGAGGATCCTGGATGAAGAGTTGGATCAGGGTTTTAGTTAACCCCTGCATGTATATAAAGTATGATCTTATTAGTTGATCTTTTTAAACATGTCACACATGCACATTCATCTGTTTCTGTTTCAGGGTCCAGCAGCAGAGACCAGACTCTCCCAGCTGTCTGTCCTTCAAGAGCGCCTTTAAAAGACGACCTCCATCTGCTGATCAGAGGTAAGCTGTAACTCACAGTAAGAGTCCGGTTATGATAGAATAAAACTGGTATAAAGTCTTGTCCAGCATGTTTTTCAGCAGTTTTTCTCCAGCATGTTTTACGGCCTGATAAATGGGACAAATAATCAGGAGAGTGAGATTGGTGTTTCCTCAGGAAGAACTTTACTCTAGGCAATTGCATTACCAAAAGTACAGCAGGTGAGAAACATGCAAAGCTTCTTCAGTAGAGTCCAAACCCTTTCTCGTTAGACAGCATCTATCTAACACTTCTTACTTTTCTCTAATATTAGAGACTGAACTCTTATTCACTCAAAATGTCCCAGAAACTCGAGAGATGTTAGGAATAATGAAAACCAGATTTATGGTAACATAACATATCTGATAAATGGGAAAAAACATCCGAGAGTTAAAGTAGTTTTTCCTCAGCGAGAACTGAAACACTGCGAGTCTCCAGATATGTGGGTGGAGACAAAAGCAATCGATCTGAGGATCCTGGATGAAGAGTTGGATCAGGGTTTTAGTTAACCCCTGCATGTATATAAAGTATGATCTTATTAGTTGATCTTTTTAAACATGTCACACATGCACATTCATCTGTTTCTGTTTCAGGGTCCAGCAGCAGAGACCAGACTCTCCCAGCTGTCTGTCCCTAAAGAGCGACTGGTCGATGGACGACTTCATAAACTTTAAAGGACGACCTCCATCTGCTGATCAGAGGTAAGCTGTAACTCACAGTAATGGCGCGTTTCCACTACACGGCCTCGCTCGGCCCTGCTCGGTATGGCTAGGCCTCGTTAGGACTGGCTCACTTTATGGCGCATTTCCATTACAGTTTAGGAACTGGGGTAGTTACTATAGTAACGCAGTGTAGGCGGAGCCGTGACGTCATCTTCAATGAGAACCCCAGAAACACAACACAGCCGTTAGCTGTTAGCACTCAGAGCTCACAGCTCCTCATATCTGTTCAGAAACTGGACAAAAGTTAAACAAGTACACACCACAGACTGCCTGTGTCATGGTGAATACAGTCGCTGCTTTATTTATGTCTGTATAGGCCGTTGTTGTGAGTGTGGACGGTCGGAGCATATACTGCGTTAGCTTAGCCGATCTCCATTCAGAAAACACGCATTTTAAAAGGTGTTTCGCCTGCCGTCTGTCTGCAGACTTGACAAAGCATTAATTCATGGTTTTTACTAACCGGTATCAGTATGTTGTTACTTCATCATTTTGAAACGTGTATTACAATTAAATCACGGTCAAATATGTCCATCTTGTTGTAGTTGTAGCCCCCTTGCCAGCGATGCTCTCTCTAGTTTAGCATACTCAGCCCGACTCAGCCTCGTTGTCTCTGGCCCTGGACCCACGATTTTATGAGGCCAGGAAAACTGTGAATTAGGACCCGCCGGCCGGTACTAGGCCAAGTGGAAACGCAACCAAAGACGGGCCGCTGACGTCACAGCTCTCTTAAACCGTGCTCCGCGCTGTAGTGGAAACGCGCCATTAGAGTCCGGTTATGATAGAATAAAACTGGTATAAAGTCTTGTCCAGCATGTTTTTCAGCAGTTTTTCTCCAGCATGTTTTACGGCCTGATAAATGGGACAAATAATCAGGAGAGTGAGAGCGGTGTTTCCTCAGGAAGAACTTTACTCTAGGCAAATGCATTACCAAAAGTACAGCAGGTGAGAAACATGCAAAGCTTCTTCAGTAGAGTCCAAACCCTTTCTCGTTAGACAGCATCTATCTAACACTTCTTACTTTTCTCTAATATTAGAGACTGAACTCTTATTCACTCAAAATGTTTAAGGAATAATGAAAACCAGATTTATGGTAACATAACATATCTGATAAATGGGACAAAAACATCCGAGAGTTAAAGTAGTTTTTCCTCAGCGAGAACTGAAACACTGCGAGTCTCCAGATTTGTGGGTGGAGACAAAAGCAATCGATCTGAGGATCCTGGATGAAGAGTTGGATCAGGGTTTTAGTTAACCCCTGCATGTATATAAAGTATGATCTTATTTGTTGATCTTTTTAAACATGTCACACATGCACATTCATCTGTTTCTGTTTCAGGGTCCAGCAGCAGAGACCAGACTCTCCCAGCTGTCTGTCCTTCAAGAGCGCCTTTAAAAGACGACCTCCATCTGCTGATCAGAGGTAAGCTGTAACTCACAGTAAGAGTCCGGTTATGATAGAATAAAACTGGTATGAAGTGTCCAGCATGTTTTTCAGCAGTTTTTCTCCAGCATGTTTTACGGCCTGATAAATGGGACAAATAATCAGGAGAGTGAGAGCGGTGTTTCCTCAGGAAGAACTTTACTCTAGGCAATTGCATTACCAAAAGTACAGCAGGTGAGAAACATGCAAAGCTTCTTGAGTAGAGTCCAAACCCTTTCTCGTTACACAGCATCTATCTAAGACTTCTTACTTTTCTCTAATATTAGAGACTGAACTCTTATTCACTCAAAATGTCCCAGAAACTCGAGAGATGTTAGGAATAATGAAAACCAGATTTATGGTAACATAACATATCTGATAAATGGGACAAAAACATCCGAGAGTTAAAGTAGTTTTTCCTCAGCGAGAACTGAAACACTGCGAGTCTCCAGATATGTGGGTGGAGACAAAAGCAATCGATCTGAGGATCCTGGATCAAGAGTTGGATCAGGGTTTTAGTTAACCCCTGCATGTATATAAAGTATGATCTTATTAGTTGATCTTTTTAAACATGTCACACATGCACATTCATCTGTTTCTGTTTCAGGGTCCAGCAGCAGAGACCAGACTCTCCCAGCTGTCTGTCCTTCAAGAGCGCCTTTAAAAGACGACCTCCATCTGCTGATCAGAGGTAAGCTGTAACTCACAGTAAGAGTCCGGTTATGATAGAAGCAGACCTGATTACTGCAACAGTGTTTTTACAGACCGCTGCAAGTCATCCAGAACGCTGCCACCAGAGTCCTCACCAAAACCAGAAGATTTAAGCTCATCACCCCAGCTCTCAAAGCTCTGCACTGGCTTCCAATAAAAGAAAGAACACACTTCAAAATCTTACTTTTAACTTACAAAGCACTCAATGGATTGGGACCAGAATACATGTCTGATATGCTGCTCTTTAACGAGCTCTCAGATCATCGGGGCAGGTTTACTCATCGTCCCCAGGGTCAGGACCAAAATCACTGAGGCAGCTTTTACGATACGATACGATACAATACGATATTACTTTATTAGACCAAGTCTGAAATGTGTCTTGCGTCACAACAGCTCCATGTCCAACACCAACATCGACAAATATCCAGACACAAATACATGAAACACAAACAACAAACATTTAACATAACAGCACAATCAGTGAGAGATGCTCAAAGAGCCTTCAGCGTGCATCTGATCTGGGATCAGCTCTGTATTTACTGAGAGGATTGACTGATGCACAAAGGAGTGCTTCAGTCTGACCTTATTGAATCGTGGGACCCTGTATCTCCGATTAGATGGTAGCAGTTCATATTCACTGTTCAGAACATGCTTTGGGTCAGAGGTGATGTTGTTGGACAGCCTCACTAGGTTGTTATGACAGGCTGAGTCATAGAGTCTCTGGCAGGGTTGACCAACAATCTTTGAGCAGATTTTTAACAGGTGGAGCAGTTTTGATTTTAAAGCTGCTGACAAACATTTGTACCAGGTAGTGTTGCAGTACTGTAGAATGGACATGATCACAGATGTAAAGAACAACAGAAGAATTTCTCTGCTTTCTCTGGAGAAAATACATTCTTAGTTTTGTCCTTTTGCACAGATATTCAATGTGCTCCTTCCATGACAGCAGATGGTCAATCATTACACCCAAGTATTTGTATGAAACTCCCTGCTTGATTTCATCTGTATGGATGACAATGGGGACTTTATGGGAGTCTGATGGTGAGCCAAAAATGATTTCCTCAGTCCAAGTGTCACCTCCCTGTCTCAATGCATTATGGAGACACGGTCATGTACGTTTCAAATACCCGAGATCCTGCTCTTCAGTTTTTAAAGTGTACAGTACACTTCAAATACATAGCCGCAGATTTCATGCAAATCAGAGCAAGTTTTTGAGCTGTTTGTCAGGCTTCAGTCCTAAAAACTTAGTGGGAACGATCAATGACCAACGCATAAGGCGTTGATTGTGGTTGTACATCCTTGCAAGAAAAACCAGGGGATTGTGATCAGTGTATACCTTAATAGGTTTTTCACTGGAGCCAAGATACACCTCAAAGTGCTGCAAGGCAAACAATAAAGCTAAAGCTTCCTTTTCAATAGTAGAGTACTTCAACTGATGTTTATTAAACTTTCGGGAGAAGTAACTCACGGGGTGATCGATGGCCTGTGCATCTTCTTGTAGAAGAACAGCCCCTGTCCCAACTCCACTGGCATCGACTTCAAGCTTGAATGGCTTCGAAAAGTCTGGTGCAGAAAGAACAGGAGTGCAACACAGAATACCTTTTAGGCTCTCAAATGACTGCTGACACTCACCGGACCAAACAAAAGACTTTGAGGGACTGGTCAACGTAGTGAGTGGGGCCGCCACCAAGGAGAAGTTTTTGCAGAAACGGCGATAGTACCCTGCCATTCCTAGGAAGCGGCGAAGTTCCCTCCTGGTGGATGGCTCTGGGATGGAGGCAATTGCCCTGATCTTTGCATCAGCAGGGCACACCAGCCCTCGACCAACCTGCTGACCAAGGTAGAGAACGGTACCTTTTCCAAACTCACATTTGGCAAGGTTTAACGTTAAGGATGCAGCCAACAAGCACTTAAAAACTTCTCTTAAGGTAGACATGTGGCTAGCCCAGTCATTAGAATAGACAACAATGTCGTCCAGATATGCCTTACAGTTTGAAACATGTCCTAATACAAGATTTACAAGCCTCTGAAAGGTGGCAGGTGCGTTACACATACCGAAAGGCATCACAGTGTACTGAAGGAAACTGTCAGGTGTCACAAAGGCTGAAATATCAGAAGCACGCTGTGTTAAAGGAACTTGCCAGTATCCCTTTAACATGTCCAGCTTACTGACAAATTGTGCAGGACCAATTTCATCGATGCAGTCATCAATGAGCGGTAACGGGTGTGCATCGGGGACAGTGACAGCATTAACCTTGCGAAAGTCAGTGCAGAATCTGGGACTTCCATCTGACTTTGTGTCTAGCACACAAGGGGAACTCCAGGGACTGGAACTAGGCCTTGCAAATCCGTTTTCAAGTAGATACTCAACTTCCTTTTTCATAATCTCTCTCTTAACTGGGTTAACCCTGTACGCACGCTGTTTGATGGGCCGAGGGTTGGTCAAGACCACATCATGAGCTAGGACAGAAGTTTGTGAGGGAGTGTCATTAAAAAGACATGCAAAGTCGAATATCAGTTTCTGTATATCACTTTCTTGGTTATCAGGAAGATGAGACAAGTAATTGGGCAAATCAGCCAATACCTCAGTATTGCTTAGTCTTGCCCCCTGTGGTGTTGCACTACGCATCACCAACTCATCCTCATCCTCATTTGAGCTCACCCTTGAAACTGAAGCCATAGGAGAGACGGTTGTCTCCACCTGGTGAGCTTTTGAAGATTCACTTTGGTCATCCCTGGTGCAGTACTTCTTCAGCATGTTGATATGACACACTCTGGTAGGACGTCTGCGGTCAGGTGTTTGAATGACGTAATTTGTTTCACCGAGCTTCTTATCTACAACATAAGG